CCAGTAGTGGCTGTAACACATCCCCTCTAATAGACCCCGCCATGATGCCCCTAATAACACCCCATCGACCATAAGCTGTCTGAGCCTGCAGCCTCCACATTTTCAAAGCCTCCGGTGAGTCTCTTGCCAACGCCAATGTCGCCTCAGGAGTCGGACATTCCTCCAGACACGTAGGCATCCTAAACCCATCAGGCTCCTTCGTAGACCGATACCTCACCCCGTCAACAGCCTCATTTGCCCTACACTTCCGATGGTTCCTCAATACATGAGCCTTGATCAATTGCAGACAGAAGGGGCTCCACATAGCCCAGTCCCCACACCCTAGGCATACCACACCATCACCAACAACCACTATAGAGCTACCCCAGAAACATGCGTTGAAGGTCTTCTCATTCTCTTTGACCTTACGAAACCTACATGCAAAGTGAATCCAACACGAGAGGTGCCCACTGAGTCTTATACATTACAGTATTTTGCACCTCTCCAGCTGATCCGCCTTGAAGGTATTCATCTTGACCGTTCTGTCATCACTATCTTTTTCACCCTCAACCGCTGATCCCGATGATATTCCTTCACCATCAACCGCTGATTCCGATGATATTCCTTCACCATCAACCGCTGATCCCGACGACATCCTAAGCTGATCAACTACACATTTCCACCATCATCACGACTCGAACACTATCAGACTACAGCCCTCCTCCGAAATCGCACAGATTACAAAACTCAACTCCACTAAGGTTTACTCGTATTAACCGGGGATAACCCCTTGAGAGACACTCGTGAATGAGCATCGCCGTCCATTGCAATAATGGAGCAGACGATGATACAACAGCACGAATAGTACAACATACGCTTAGGCGGACTGAGCGGCAGCGGCGATGATCTCAGTGAACTGAGGCTTGAGGGAAGCACCACCAACGAGGAACCCATCGACATCAGCGCACTTGATCAACTCACCACAGTTACCAGGGTTCACAGAGCCACCGTAGAGGATACGAGTGTTCTCAGCGACCTCGGTGCTAACCTTGGACTTAAGATAGGCCCTGATGGAGGCATGGGTCTCCTGAGCCTGCTCAGTAGTGGCAACCTTGCCGGTGCCGATAGCCCAGACAGGCTCATAGGCGATAACGATGTTGTTCCAGTCCTTCACAACGGGGACGATAGCATCCATCTGAGTGGCGCAGACCTCCTCAGTCTTACCGGCCTCACGCTCCTCAAGCAACTCACCGAAGGAGGAAGAAGATTATTTTCAAGCCAGCAGCTTCAGCCTTGGCAACCTTGGGGGGGAGAATCCTGTTTGGTCTCGTTGAAGAGATGACGCCTCTCGGAATGGCCAAGGATGGTCCAGTTAAGACCGGCGTCCTTGATCATCTCAGCAGTAATCTCACCAGTGTAGGCACCAGGACCAGTCTTACTGCAGTTCTGAGCAGAGATCTGGATGTTAGAGCCCTTGAACTGCTCCATGGCCAAAGGGAGGTGAATGGCAGTAGGGGCAATGACAACATCAACAGCATCCTTGTTATAAGTGGCCTCACCAGCAACAAGGGCAGGGGCAAGCTTCTTGATGGACTCAACGCTGCCGTTAGATTTCCAGTTACCACCGACGAAAGGCTTGGGGGACATGATTATTAGGGGAACAGAAGTAAACACTATTAATGGTAGAGTTGTAACGAGGACCAAACATGCTTAAGCCACCGACAGCGATGCAAAGCGAAAACCGCGCGCGCCCGAACAATCGATAACACTCATGGTCAAGCAGCCGCACGTAATAAGCAACACGACAGAAGTTGTATGAACGTTGTTAGGAACCAAACTTAAAGCGTTTTTGCTTTTCCCACTCATCCCACTGTTCTTGTGCAGAGGCATCATCATCATAATACGCTTCCTGGCCAGCGGCAATGCCTGT